CGTGTATCAAGATGACTCGAAACGGCCGATCCCGCCAGTGTGCTTTTTGGCAGTAAAAGCTACCCGATCGAGCTGAGATCAAGATGGCAAGCAGCAATAAGATCGAATATCACGGGAACAAATACTAGAGCTATAACGAATGATCAAATTTTCAGACAAAATTTTTAACCAACCAAAAGTTGTGAAAAGTCCAGTTCTTGTTTTCCGAGCCAACTAGCTCTCCAACGCGCCGGAATTACTCTTAGCTTCCAGCTATAACTAGCTAAGGGGAGCTCTACGAGTTATTCGCAAAACCACCCAAAAGTTGCCACATTCTCCGTTCTGACTGGTCGGCAACTAGCTCCGACCTGCGACAGAATTCCTCTAGCTCATCGATGCCGAAGAGCTCTACGAGGTATGGCGCCGACGGTGAACCGTCAACCTGGTCACCGCCGGGAACCTCGTAGAGCTCCTCTCGCTAGTAAGAGTGCAGAGAATCGACACAGAATCAAAAAATGAAGATTTTTCGAAAATCTTGAAATTCGATTTTTTCTATGTTCATATTCGCTCAGTTCCCGGAAGTCAACTCATGCAAAAATGCATCGAGAGCAGAGAGGGGTTGATATGCCAATGCTCGGCGTGAAAGTCTGCTTTTTCAAAATAAATAGTCGAATACCTTTGAAATTTTCGTAAAACCACCCAAAAGTTGTCACATTGTCCGCCTCGGCCGCCTGGGCAACTAGCTCCACCCCGCGCCGGAATTTCTCTAGCTCATCGATGCCGAAGAGCTCTACGAGGTACTTATAAGCGTCCAAAACCCGGATAGCGTATCCAAGCGCAGACGCACGGGGACATCTGCCAGGCCGCCTGAAACGATGCGCGGGACGCTGGAAACCTCGCAGAAGACGCTTGCAGGGGCGCCGTTTACGATGCGTGGGGCCCTGCAAAGCGCGCAAGGAAGATCTGCCTCGGAGCCTGGACGAACTGCCGAAGCTCTTCCGAAGCTCGGCCGAAGCGCTTCGCGCACCCTGGTATTGGGAAACGCTAGAAAACCACGCTCCCGGACCCGCTGCCGGTTCCGGCAACCTGCTGCGAGAAGCGTGGACCGGCGGAGGTGGGCGTGTGCTCCTCACCACTCACCGCCGGCTTCTTATCTGAAACCCTCAGCTCTCCAAGGAGCTATTCGGGAATTGTAAGCGTCCAAAACCCGGATAGCAAAGCCAAGCGCGGAACGCCGCACGAGGACCTCTGCCAGGCCGCCTGAAACGATGCGCGGGACGCTGGAAACCTCGTAGGAGACTGGGCGCCGGCGGTAAACCGTCAACCTTTCTTACCGCCGGGGGACTCGTAGAGCTTCCTGACAATATATACTGTGGAAAAAAACTCGAAAGAACGACTATTTTTTAAGCCCAAGCGATTTCAGACCTCTCAAGATGACGCTAACAAAAAACGAACAGTTTCGCAACCCAGTTCGAGTATCAAACCGAGTTGAGACCTCTGAATGCGACAGGCGGGCGCGTCTGATGTCTGCGAATCCACTCATGTGATTCCCAGCACTGAAGCCCCCCTACAGCCCGAGTTAAGTGCAGAAAACCGACAGTATCGATTCGAATAATATAATAGTTTTGCGAACCTAGTTCGAGCAGCAGACCGAGTTCCGAGCTCTGGAATCGACCGAAAGACGCGCCTGATGTGTGCAAATCGATATATGTGACCTGCAGCACTGTAGCCCTTCCCCAGCACGAGTTGAGTGCAGAAAATTGAGAGCATGTCTCAAGATCATTCGGACAATACGAACAGTTTCGCGAACCTAGCTCGGCCAGCAGGCCGAGTTCAGAGCTCTCGGTACGATAGACGAACGCGACTGATAATTCCCCAGCGATGTCTGTCACAATGAGCCCTGTAGCTGCCCTACAGCTCGAGTTAAGTACAGAAAACCGAGAGCGTCTATCAAGATCACTCCAATAATACTGATAGGTTTGCGGACCTAGCTCGGCTAGCAGACCGAGTTCAGACCTCTGGATTCAACAGACGAACGCGCGTGATGATTCTGAGTGCGATAGCTGTGCTTACAAGCACTGTAGCTGCCCTAAAGCTCGAGTTAAGTACAGAAAACCGAGAGTGTCTATCAAGATGACTCGAATAATACAAATAGGTTTGCGAACCTAGCTCGGCTGGCAGACCGAGTTCAGACCTCTGGTTTCAACAGGCGAACGCGCGTGATAATTCTGAGTGCGATAGCTGTGCTCACCAGCTCTGTAGCTGCCCTACAGCTCGAGTTAAGTACAAAATACCGATAGCGCGTATCAAGATGACTCGAACCGGCCGTTCCCGCCCGTGCGCTTTTTGGCCTTCAAAGTTACCCGATCGAGCTGAGATCAAGATGGCGAGCGGGAATAAGATCGAATATCATGGGAAAAAATACTAGAGCTCTAACGAATGGTCAAATTTCGAGAACGAAATTTTCAACCGAGCAAACTGGGCGCCGGCGGTAAACCGTCAACCTTTGTTACCGCCGGGGGACTCGTAGAGCTTCCTGACAACATATACTGTCGAAAAAATTGCAGAGAACGAATAGTTTTTGAGCCCAACTCGAGTATCAGACCGAGTTCAGACCTCTGAATGCGACAGACGGACGCGTCTGATGTCTCCGAATCGATTCCTGTGATTACCCGCCCTGCAGCCTCCCTACAGCCCGAATTAAGTGCAGAACGCCAAGAGTAGCTCTCAAGATGACTGGAAGAATACGAACAGTTTCGTGATTCTGCATCGCGCAACAGACCGAGTTCAGAGCTCTGGATTCAACAGGCGAACGCGCCTGATGATTCTGAGTGCGGTAGGTGTGCTTACCAGCACTGTAGCTACCCTACAGCTCGAGTTAAGTAGAAAATACCGACAACGCATATCAAGTTGACTCGAATAATACGAATAGGTTTGCGGACCTATCTCGGCTAGCAGACCGAGTTTAGACCTATGGATTCAACAGGCGAACGCGTCTGATCATTCTGAGTGCGATAGGAGTGCTTACCAGAACTGTAGCTGTCCTACAGCTCGAGTTAAGTAGAAAATACCGACAACGCGTATCAAGTTGACTCGAATAATACGACCAGGTTTGCGGACCTAGCTCGGCTGACAGACCGAGTTCAGACCTCTGGGTTCAACAGGCGAACGCGCCTGATCATTCTGCATGCGTTAGTTGTGCTTACCAAGCTCTGTAGCTGCCCTAGAGCTCGAGTTAGGTTCAGAAAACCGTCAGCGCATATCAAGATGACTCGAAACGGCCGATCCCGCCAGAGTGCTTTTTGGCCTTCAAAGTTACCCGATCGAGCTGAGATCAAGATGGAGAAGGGGAATAAGATCGAATATCACGGGAAAAAATACTAGAGCTGAAACGAATTGTCAAATTTCGAGAACGAAATTTTCAACCGAGCAAAAGTCACCAAAAGTTCCGTCGAGATTTTTCTTGCCAACTAGCTCTCCAGCGCGCCGGAATTACTGGGCGCCGGCGGTAAACCGTCAACCTTTGTTACCGCCAGGGACTCGTAGAGCTTCCTGACAACATATACTGTCGAAAAAAATTGCAGAGAACGAATAGTTTTTCAGCCCAACTCGAGTATCAGACCGAGTTCAGACCTCTGAATGTGACAGACGGACGCGTCTGATGTCTCCGAATCGATTCCTGTGATTACCCGCCCTGCAGCTTCCCTACAGCCCGAATTAAGTGCAGAACGCCAAGAGTAGCTCTCAAGATGACTGGAAGAATACGAACAGTTTCGTGATTCTGCATCGCGCAACAGACCGAGTTCAGAGCTCTGAATTCAACAGGCGAACGCGCCTGATGATGCTGAGTGCGGTAGGTGTGCTTACCAGCACTGTAGCTACCCTACAGCTCGAGTTAAGTAGAAAATACCGACAACGCATATCAAGTTGACTCGAATAATACGAATAGGTTTGCGGACCTATCTCGGCTAGCAGACCGAGTTTAGACCTATGGATTCAACAGGCGAACGCGTCTGATCATTCTGAGTGCGATAGGAGTGCTTACCAGAACTGTAGCTGTCCTACAGCTCGAGTTAAGTAGAAAATACCGACAACGCGTATCAAGTTGACTCGAATAATACGACCAGGTTTGCGGACCTAGCTCGGCTGACAGACCGAGTTCAGACCTCTGGGTTCAACAGGCGAACGCGCCTGATCATTCTGCATGCGTTAGCTGTGCTTACCAGCTCTGTAGCTGCCCTAGAGCTCGAGTTATGTTCAGAAAACCGTCAGCGCATATCAAGATGACTCGAAACGGCCGATCCCGCCAGAGTGCTTTTTGGCCTTCAAAGTTACCCGATCGAGCTGAGATCAAGATGGAGAGCGGGAATAAGATCGAATATCACGGGAAAAAATACTAGAGCTCTAACGAATTGTCAAATTTCGAGAACGAAATTTTCAACCGAGCAAAAGTCACCAAAAGTTCCGTCGAGATTTTTCTTGCCAACTAGCTCTCCAGCGCGCCGGAATTACTGGGCGCCGGCGGTAAACCGTCAACCTTTCTTACCGCCGGGGGACTCGTAGAGCTTCCTGACAGTAAATAGTGTGGAAAAAAACTCCAAAGGACGACCAGTTTTTCAGCCCAAGCGATTTCACACCTCTCAAGATGACTCTAACAAAGAACAAACAGTTTCGCAATCCAGTTCGAGTATCAAACCGAGTTCAGACCTCTGAATGCGACAGGCGGGCCCGTCTGATGTCTGCGAATCCACTCATGTGATTCCCAGCCCTGCAGCCCCCCTACAGCCCGAGTTAAGTGCAGAAAACCAGCAGTATCGACTCGAATAATAAAATAGTTTCGCGGACCTAGTTTGAGCAGCAGACCGAGTTTCAAGCTCTGGAATCGACAGACAGACGCGCCTGATGTGTGCAAATCGATATCTGTGACCCGCAGCACTGTAGCCCTACCCAGCACGAGTTGAGTGCAGAAAATCGAGAGCACTCTTCAAGATGATTCGGACAATACGAATAGTTTCGCGAACCTAGCTCAGGCAGCAGGCCGAGTTCAGAGCTCTCGGTTCAATGAGCGATTGGGGGTCGATGATTTCCGCCTGAGCCTGTCTGCCCCGTAAGTCGCAGCTGAGCGGCAGAGGGCGCAGCCCTTCGCATATCCACGCCACCTCCAGCGGCAGTAGCTGCTGACCACCTGGGCCGCGTATGCCCAACGCCGGCGCCTGACCGCTAAGGATGGTGATGTCAAACGCGAGGTCGATCGTCTCCAGCCCTAAGATGACAGCGCTGGCCACGTGGCCGACGATGATGATCGGCGCCGCAGGCGACCTCTTGTCGAGCATGGACAGCATGGGGGTCCCGGGGCGCCCAGGCCACCCTCCGGCAGGGGACGGGGAGAAGGCGCCTCAGGGCGGAGAGGAAAAAGCCAAGCGCCCAAGCCGAATCCACAGCAGGCCAATTGAAGTTCTCTTCCTCTTCCTCCTCCTTTTCTCATGGAGAGGACAAGCGAGAATATATGAAAGCAAACTGTGAAAGCAAGAGCCCGCAGCAATTGGCAGATGGAATGCGCAGGCGGCCACAGCGCAGGCCAGCGCGAACCACAGCACCAAGATTGCGAACCATAACCTGAATGCAGCTTATAGGCATAGGATCCCTCAGAAGATCACCTCAACTCCCCTGGGCATTCGCTGTTTCAGATTGCGCTTCCCTGATCACCTCGAAAGTCAAAACAAAAAAACAAACATCAAAATGAACAGTCGCTCTCGGGACGATCTAGCCGGTCACCTGGTGTTGCTCTCTGGCCATGGGCTTCCTCCAGACGACGAACTCAAGCGGCTGGAACTCACGACACTCGGCAATAATCCCGTCTGCGTTGCCAGAAATTCCGTTCACCTGGACCAGATAATCACCCGCTCTGACCCTCGCTTCTTCGTTGCGGTCATTCCACTGCGCGAAAAGGCCTTCCGTCACTCTCTCCACCAATAATGCGGAACCATCGCAGGTGTCGATGTCGATCCCGAGACTGGTGCCGTCGCTTCGATCTACCGTGACCTGGAACGTGAAGGCGGCCAGGGCCTCGTCCAAAGCGGGCGCCGACCCGGCAGAGGCCCGCCCACCGGGCGGCAGAGAGCCCGCCGCCGCGCCCGCAGCGGCAGAGGCCCGCGGCCGGCACACGCGCGCCTGGGCCGCCGGGGTCGCCTCGTCCAAAGAAGACGAGGGCGTCGACCCTGCGGAGGCAGGCCCGGTGGGCGGCAGGGGGCAGACCTCGGCCCCGCAGGTCTCGCACTGCTGCAGCTCGCCCGCCCCCTGGTCGATCAGAGCGAGGCACTCCGGGCACTGCCGGTTGCCGAACTCCACGTCGTCGCAGGCCCCCCGCAGCATGACCTCGAGGGTTCTCCTCGCCGAAACTGCGCTGACGTGAAACGCGCAGCAGCCTCGGCCACAGACGTTGATGCCCGCGATGGCGTCCCACAAGCGCATCACCACCGTCTCCTTGGGCGTCTCCGCGAACGCCGGCACCTGGCGCCTCATGGTGTTGAGCCTGACCCGCCTCTTCGCGCGGCAGGCCCACGGCACGCCTGCGCGGCGCAGGGTCTCCACGTCCCTACTGAGCTCCGGCATTGACGGCGGGCGTGGAGACGGCTCGGTCGGAAGCGTCTGCACCTCGACGGTCCTCGTGCGGGGGACGCGGCACCAGGCCGAGGCGGTCGTCTGGGAGATCGCCAAGCTCGACAGCGCGCTGACCTCTGAGTTGTGCTCGGACGGAGCCTTCTGCACTTGCTGCGGGCGGGGGTTCCTCGCGGTGCTGGAGAGGTCGAAGCTGCATGTGTCACTGTTGCGCTGCAGCGTGAGGCGGGGCCCGCCGACTTCGGGCGGCTGCTCTGGGCCAGAGCCGCTCTTTGACGCCGCAGCTCTGGGCCCGTCGTTGTAAATCCGCCGACCCCATGAGGTGTGTGCGGAATCCTTCTCAGCTGCATCCGAGGTTGTCCCCACACATCACACAGTCCCTAGCCATCCTCGCCGGGACCCTCCCCGACCCCCCCTGTGACAGCCAGCCTCCTGAGGGGCTCTGGCCATGGGCTTTTCGTAGATCTGAAGGCCCCCCCCTCAGCAAATTCCTCGCCGACACCCCCCCGACCTCTCCGACACAGCCAGCAACCTGAGGCCTCTGGGCATCGGTTTTCCGTACGTTTCACGGCCCCCCCCCTCAGCAACATCTCCGCCCGGACCCCCCCGACCCCCCCTGACACAGCCAGCCTCCTGAGACTCTCTGGGCATGGGTTCTTCGTAGGTTTCAAGGCCCCCCCACTCAGCAAAATCCTCGCCGGGACCCCCCTCACCCCCCCCCACACCTTCCCTGACACAGCCAGCCTTGCGAGGCCTCTAGGCATGGATTTTTCGTAGGTTTCAAAAGCCCCCCCAACGGACCCCCCCGACCCCCGCTGACACTGCCAGCCGCCTGAGGCCTCTGGGCATAAGGTTTGGCGTATGTTTCAAGGCCCCCCCCTGAGCAAATTCCTCCCCGAGACCCCTCCGACCTCCCCTGACACAGTCAGCCTCCTGAGAAGATCTGGGCATTGGTTTTTCGTAAATCTGAAGGCCCCCCCACTCAGCAAAATCCTCGCCAGGACCCTCCCCGAGACCCCCCCGACCCTCCCTGACACACCCAGCCTCCTGAGAAGCTCAGGGCATTGGTCTTTCGTAGATCCGAAGGCCCCCCCACTCAGCAAAATCCTCGCCGGGACCCCTCCGACCCCCCCCCCCACTCAGCAAAATCGTCGCCGGGACCCCCCGACCCCCCCTGACACGGCCAGCCTCTTGAGGCCTCTGGGCATGGATTCTGCGTAGGTCTCAAGGCCTCCCCCCTTCAGCACAATTTCTCGCCGGGACCCCTCCGACCCCACCTGAAACAGCCAGCCTCCTGAGATGCTCTGGGCATGGGTTTCTCGTAGGTTTGAAGCCCCCCCACTCAGCAAAATCCTCGCCGGGACCCTTCCCGAGACCCCCTCGACCCCCCCTGACATACCCAGCCTCCTGACAAGCTCTGGGCATTAGTTTTTCAACGATCTGAAGGCCCCCCCACTCAGCAAAATCCTCGCCGGGACCCCCCCACCCCCCCACCCGACCTCCCCCCGACCCCCCCCCGACCCCCTCACACAGCCAGCCTCCTGGGGGCTCTGGGCTAGGTTTTTCATACGTTTCATGGCCCCCCCACTCAGCAAAATCCTCGCCGGGACCTCCCCGACCCCCACCCCGACCCCCTCCCGACCCTTCCCCGACCCCCCCTGACACAGCCAGCCTCCTGAGGAGCTCTGGGCTGGGTTTTTCGCACGTTTCACGGCACCCCCACTCAGCAAAATCGTCGCCGGGACCCCCCGACCCCCCCTGACACAGCCAGCCTCTTGAGGCCTCTGGGCATGGATTCTGCGTAGGTCTCAAGGCCTCCCCCCTCAGCAAAATGTTTCGCCGGGATTCCTCCGACCCCACCTGAGACAGCCAGCCTCTGGAGCTGCTCTGGGCATGGGTTTCTCGTAGGTTTGAAGCCCCCCCACTCAGCAAAATCCTCGCCGGGACCCTCCCCGAGACCCCCCCGACCCCCCCCGACCCCCCCCCGACCCCCCCTGACACACCCAGCCTCCTGAGAAGCTCCGGGCATTGGTTTTTTCATAGAATCCGAAAGGCCCCCCACTCAGCAAAATCCTCGCCGGGACCCCCCCCACTTCCCCCCCCCCCGACCCCCCCCCCAACCCCCCCCCCGACCCCCCCTGACACAGCCAGCCTCCTGAGGAGCTCTGGGCTGGGTTTTTTCGTACGTTTCAAGGCCCCCCACTCAGCAAAATCGTCGCCGGGACCCCCCTACCCCCCCTGACACAGCCAGCCTCTTGAGGCCTCTGGGCATGGATTCTGCGTAGGTCTCAAGGCCTCCCCCCCTCAGCAAAATTTCTCGCCGGGACCCCCCCGACCCCACCTGAGACAGCCAGCCTCCTGAGATGCTCGGGGCAAGGGTTTCTCGTAGGTTCGAAGCCCCCCCCAATCAGCAAAATCCTCGCCAGGACCCCCCCGACCCTCCCCCGCTGCGTCAGCCTTCTGAGGCCTCTGGGCATGGATTTTTCGTAGATTTCAAAGCCCCCCCCCTCAGCAAAATCTCCGCCCGGACCCTCCCGAACCCCGCTGACAGTGCCCGCCACCAGAAGCCTCTGGGCATAAGATTTTGCGTATGTTTCAAAGCACCCCCACTCAGCAAAATCCTCGCCGGGACCCTTCCGACACTCCCTGACACAGCCAGCCTCCTCAGGCTTCTGGGCATGGGTTTTTCGTAGGTCTCAACGCCCCCCCACCCAGCACAATCCTCGCCAGGCCGTCCCGACCCGCCCCGACACAGCCAGCCTCCTGAGGCCTCTGGGCATAAGGTTGTGCGTATGTTTCAAGCCCCCCCCCCCCGGCAAATTCCTCCCCGAGACCCCCCCCGACCCTCCCTGACACACACAGTTTCCTGAGAAGCTCTGGGCATGGGTTTTTCGTAGATCGGAAGGCCCCCCCACTCAACAAAATCCTCGCCGGGACCCCCCCAACCCCCCGTCGACCCCCCCCCGACCCCCCCTGACACAGCCAGCCTCCTGAGGAGCTCTGGGCTAGGTTTTTCGTACGTTTCACGGCCCCCCCACTCAGCAAAATCCTCGCCGGGACTCCTCCGACCCCCCCTGACACAGCCAGCCTCTTCAGGCCATGGATTCTGCGTAGGTCTCAAGGCCCCCCCCCCTCAGCAAAATTTCTCGCCGGGACCCCTCCGACCCCACCTGAGACAGCCAGCCTCCTGAGATGCCCTGGGCATGGGTTTCTCGTACGTTTGAAGCCCCCCCACTCAGCAAAATCCTCGCCGGGACTCCCCCGACCCTCCCCCGACCCCCCCTGACACAGCCAGCAACCTGAGGCCTCTGGGCATCGGTTTTTCGTAGGTTTGACGGCCCCCCCCTCAGCAAAATCTCCGCCGGGACCCCCCCGACCTCCCCTGACACAGCCAGCCTCCTAAGACTCACTGGGCATGGGTCGTTCGTAAGTTTCAAGGCCCCCCACTCAGCAAAATCCTCGCCGGGACCCCCCTCACCCCCCCCCCCCACCGTCCCTGACACAGACAGCCTTGTGAGGCCTCTGGGCATGGATTTTTCGTAGGTTTCAAAACCCCCCCCAACGGCAAAATCCTCGCCGGGACCCCCCCCCGACCCCCGCTGACACTGCCAGCCACCTGAGGCCTCTGGGCATAAGTTTTGGCGTATGTTTCAAGGCCCCCCCTCAGCAAATTCTTGACGCTTCGCGTATCCCCACCAGCCCATCCTACACCAGGCGCTCGAAC